TGATTTTGGAAGCTAAGCAGGGTCAGCCCTGGTTAGTACTTGGATGGGCGACCACCGAGGGATACCGGGTGCTGTAGGCTTCGGGGGGAGGCACTGGTCAAAACCACTTCTGGCTATGGATTCCTTGCCTAAGAAAACCCTATGAGACTCATGGGGTCTCCATAAATCGACAGGCGTCTTGGCCAAAGAAGAGGCAAGCTCTTGAGCATATGTCGGAGGCGTAAACCCCGCGGAAATTTACTCCGGAGTAGCCCCGAGAGGCCGGAGCTCCCTCTCATTCATTGCAGTGGAGCTGGATCGTGGCCCCAAAGCCCTTTTCAGTGTCTTTTCAGCCCTAGACTGCCAGGCATTGCAAAGGCCTTCCATCCCTTCCAGCCAAAGCCGCCCTTCCCTTTCCTCTTCCGAAGAAGTAGGAAACCTTAATCCTCCCCGGATTCTGGGCAGCTCAGTCTTTACAAAACGGATTGAATCCGAACTCTTTCAGATTAAGAAAGCAGTGATTTACTATATTTACTGTAAACGGAAAACTCAACTAAAGGGAGTCAGAATTTTTATTTTTATTTCTTAAAAGGAAGGATATTCTGCCCCAGGAAAAGCAAAGGAAAAAGAGGAAACTTGAGTTGTAGAATCTTCTCCTTTCTGAAAAAAGTTAGGAAGTTTTCCCCAGGCTTCATCCACACTGTAGAAATAACGCAGTTTGGTACCACTTTAAAAGCTGTAGCTCCATCCTATGGACTGCTGGGGTTTGTAGTTTTACAAGGTTTTTAGCCTTCTCTGCCAAGGAATGTGGGTGCCTCACAAAACTACACATCCCAGGATTCTGCAGGACGGAGCCATGGCACTTAAAGTGGTGTCAAACTGCATTATTTCTACAGTGTGGATCTATCCCTAGTTACTCCCGGAGCCAGCGTGGCCTAGTGGTTTGAGCACTGGACCGGGACATTGGGACACCAGGGTTCAAATCCCCGCTTGGGCATGAAAACCTATTGGGTGACCTTGGTCAAGTCACACTCTCTCAGCTCAGAGAAAAACAAAGGCAAAAATCCCCTCTCAACAAATCTTGCCAGGAAAACTCCTGAGGGTCGCCATAAATCCGAAGCGACTTAAAGGCACACGGCACCAAGAAAGTTACTCCTCGCTTTTATGTCCTCTCCTGAGGTACCTGATCTTGGACGGGTGGGATTCGGGTAGCAAGCATTTCCCACCCAGGAAAGCAGCGTTTCTTGCAACTAGGAAAAAGCCACCCTGGGCCTTTGCAGACTGCCAGAAATAGTGGACATTAAATTGAGGCACTGCCCTGGCTCAGTGCTAGGGAGTCATGGGAATTGTATTTTTTTCTGGGTCATTGAGCCTTCTCTGTCAGAGAGCTCTGGTGCCACAATACATTACAGTTCCCATGATTCCCTAGCACTGAGCCAGGGCAGTGCCTCAATTTAATGTGCACTATTTCTGGCAGTCTGCAAAGGCCCTGAGTTTGTGACCAAGGCCATAGGGGGGTTGCAGACTGCCAGAAATAGTGCAAATTGAGTCCACTTTTAGGGTTAGGGTTAGGGTTAGGGTTAGGGAATCATGGGAACTGTATTTTATTATGGCACCAGAGCTCTCTGACAGAGAAGGCTCAATGTCCCAGGAAAAAAAAAATCCCCATGATTCCCTAGCACTAACCCTAACTCTAAAAGTGGACTCAATTTGCACTATTTCTGAAAGTCTGCAACCCCCCTTAGGCCTCAAAAGGTTGGACCCTGTTTTCCCATTCCCTTCCAGCTTTCCCCCGGTTTCCTCCTCCTTAAAAGGCTGTTGTGTTTCCTGATCCTTCCTGGAGTGAGGAAGGCAGTCCTTTCTCTCTCTTTCTTTCTCTCTTTATCGCTCCTTCCCTCCTAGATCGGTGCGACTCCTGTCATGGCACTACTCCACAGGGGCATCTGTAGCAGCACACGCATCTCAGAGGAAACTGGGGGATGATGCCTGTGTCGTTACAGATGCCGAGCTCCTCCTCTCCCCCATTAAAAAGCAATTGGGGGGAGGGGGACAGAAAGGAGGGGCGCCCTTTGAGTCCGCAGAAGTCTCTCTTTGGTTGCGTCCACACTGCAGACGTAATCTAGTCTGACACCACTTTAACTGCCCTTTAACTGGCTCAATGCTATGGAATCCTGGGGTTTGTAGTTAGCGGGGCACCAGAGCCACAAGGCGAAACATCTCACAAAACTTCAAATCCCATCACTCCATATAGCACTTAAAGAGATGCCAACTTGGATTATTTCTGCAGTGCGGATGCAGTCTTTCCTTTCCCTTTCCCTTTCCCTTTCCCTTTCCCTTTCCCTTTCC